CAGCCACATCCAGCTCGCCAGCAAGCTCACGTCTGGCTGCGACTACTCCCTCTTCAAGGTGCGACACTCCCTCCGCCGCGGTCCCTCCCCAGGGCCGCCGTGGCACACCAGGTGCCGGTGGGGCTGGCAGGGTGCCCTTAGCCATGGGGAAGCCTGGCTGGGTGCTCACAGCTCCCTGAGCTGTCTCTGGCCAGGCGCTCGGTGCCCCTGACCGTGCCCTTGACCGTCCCTAGGATGGCATCGAGCCCATGTGGGAGGACAGCCAGAACAAGCGTGGCGGGCGCTGGCTCATCACCCTGGCCAAGCAGCAGCGACACACTGAGCTGGACCGTTTCTGGTTGGAGACGGTGAGTGTGGCCCCGCTTGGGCTGGCCTGCAGGGTCCTGGCAGGGGTCTTTCCCCCTGCCACAGCGCTGAGCCCCAAGGGGTTCTGTCCTGGGCTCCCCTTCTCCTCCCGGCAGCTGCTGTGCCTCATCGGGGAGATGTTCGACGAGTACAGCGATGAGGTGTGCGGCGCAGTCATCAACATCCGCGCCAAGGGGGACAAGATTGCCATCTGGACCCGGGAAGCAGAGAACCGGGAAGGGGTCACCCACATCGGGTAATGCAGCTTTGGGGGGGTGCTGCATGAGGCCAGGTTGCGAGGAGCGAGGTCCCTGGGCAGGGAGCCGGTGGGAGAAGCGATGTTGTGCCATTCACACAGCCCTTTCCCTCTTCCAGGCGCGTCTACAAGGAGCACCTGGGCCTGTCGCAGAAGGTGTCCATCGGGTACCAGGCCCACGCGGACACGGCCACCAAGAGCGGCTCCCTCACCAAGACCAAGTTTGTGGTGTGACTGCGGGGGGAGCGGGGCACTGCCCGTGGGGTCTCCCTGTCCTGTCCCACAATGAATGGCTGCAGCTGAGCGTGGTCTGTGTGTCCAGGGCTGGGAAGGGCTCTGCACCCTGGGGTGGCTCTTGCTTGGGGGAGGGTCGTCCCCTAAGAGGTGGGGAGATGCATTGCTGTATCCTGTACCTACCTCCTGGGTGAGTGGGGCCAGGAGCTCAGAGCTGGCATTGCCTCGTCATCCCTGCAGGCTTGGAGCACTATCTCTGTCCCCCGGGTCTCCCCCAGTGTCTTGGACCAGTGCCGCTCTCCCTGGACTTTCAGGTGTGTCCCTCTGCTCTGGGGGACCCTGGATAGTTCCCAGGAGGATGGGCTCTGTCCTCCCCTGTCCAAGGCACCAACACTGCCCTGCGAGCCTGGGAGTGGGTACCAGAGCCCAGCTCCCCTGGGTTGGCTCAGCCTGGGGAGTTAGTCCCCTTCTCTCCAAAGCCCCTACACGCTGGTGGAACGTGGGTTTGCCTTCTTGGGAAGACCACCTCCCCAGCCCAGGGTTGCCCAGCAGCCCTGCAGTGTCGGTGCTGGGGCTGCAGCACAGCACTGTCCCCACGCTGCCCACCCCCGGGCTGTGTGTGCTCATGTCCCCTCCCACGGGCACCTGCAGTGCTGGTGGTAGGGAGTTTATTTGCTTCCCAAGGGTCCAGCC